GCCAATTAATCGCAGAAAAACGCACTTTTTTCGTTACAAACTAGGATAAAGAAGTTAAGAAAACGAGAGTCTTTTATTTTCATTCGTCATTCGATGTAATAGCGAAATTTAAAAAAAAAAGCCTTGCAGTCATTATCCAGTAGACTGATTCCTCTGTCGATTAAAAAAAATTCTAGTCGTTTAGACCAAGTTTCGAAAAAGACAGCGCGTTTTAACCAGTTAAGTGTGTTCGACGACTATAGCCGTCATGGAGATGCGGCAGAATTTTCCTCTGCGAAAATTTTCTCCGAGGCTTCGTTTACGAGTTATTAACGAAAAACGCTGACCAATAAGAGGCGAGCTCGGCTGGCGCGCGGCGGCCCAGCCGACGAGTGCACTGAGCCCAGTTCCGCTCATTGGCTTGGCCGTCTCGCGCCAAATGATCTCGCCTCTGATTGGTCACTGTTTTTCGTTAATAACTCGTAAACGAAGCCTCGGAGAAAATTTTTGTAAAGGAAGAAGTTGCTTCGAATGATCCGAGGAACCCGCCATTTCCGGATTGCGAGACATTTTTGGGACACCCAGCATACATTTTTCATTCATCCTTTCTAATAGTTCCTAACTCAAATAGCCATTTATAGGCAATCTAAACTTGCAGCACCCACTACGAGATATCTCGTAGCTGGCAGTTTTGGTACAAACGCTTACTACGAGATATCTCGTAGTTGACAGTCAATGGGTTAAAGAGCGTCCGCTAAATTTTCTCGGAGCAAATTCGTGAAAAAGTCGTGACTTCGCTTTCGAAAGATGAACCATGGAAACAAGACTCGTCGCGCCGCCGCGAAATTTTCTACAAACAAATAACAGACTTTGCGCTTCTATTTCGCGTATTTTACATGCGATTCGATTCAGCGTCGCTTCATCGGAACCGCGCGTGCATTCATTTAACGCGAATCGATGCCGAGGCACCGCGGCGTCCGCATTTCCGCGAATAACTATAATTCCCGAAAACGTTTTTTTCCTTTCTCGAACGCGACGAAACCGAACGCGTGAAATATGAAATTTCGGCGCTCGGACTCCGGTCCCGCGGACAGAGATTCATTCGAAAAACAGAACCGGTCGTCGCGATGAAAAAAGCAAGCAATCCGGAAACGAGAAAATCTCTGCGTTCACAAAAATTCCGGGGACGGAGGCGGTTCCTCCCGTCGCGCCCGGTAGTCGTGTCGCACAAAAAGACCGGAGCAATAGTGCTGCTAACGATCCCGGAAATTAAACCGGGGTAGATCGTTGGGAACGTGTTTCCAGTCGGTCGGCGACGATCGTGGTGTAGGTGGCCGATGGCGGCGGAATTTTCAAAGGGACGCGAGCGCGCGCGAGTCGCAGCGTGACTGTGGAAAGTCGGCGGCCGCCGGTTCGAGCGGAGCCGAGCGCCGGTTCGCGGGGATCGGTCGGTATTTCATTACACCGGTCCCCTTCGACAACGCTCGGAAAACGCGAAACAACGTGAAACAACCGGCCGGAGGTTATACTCGGCCCACGGTAACATAGTTAGGCGAGAGTGCAGCTCGAGATATTGCGCGGGCACTGTGCGAGAGCCGAGCGCGAGTGGGGAGGAAGGAGACCAGGGGTTGGATGGATGGACGGACGAACGGGTGGTGGATGGTTGGATGGATGGTCGGATGGATGGCTGGATGGATGAATGGGAACGGGAGGAGAGGAGAAAATGGAGCGGGAGGGAGCGAGAAAGAGCAAGTAGGAAGGCAGAGAGAGAGAGGACGAGAGGAACAGGCTGAGGGGCGCGAAGGTTTAGAAGAGCCACCTAGAGGTGGATGGAACGAAAGCGGGGGAGGGGAAGAGTCGGAAGTACTCTCGTGTCAAGAGGAGATTCTGAGTGCTCTCCTGAGAGACGACCATGCACAGCGAGAGGGAGCCCGGAGAGCGAGAGAGCGAGGGTGAGAGGGGGAGCGAGAGCGAGCCAGCTCGAAGACGGGAACCAGAGCGAGACGCGTTTCGCGAAACGCGGAGGGTTGAGACGATGAGCGGGCGAGCGTGGGTGTGCTGCTCGCGGGGCTGTGTGCGCGCGCTATATAGAGACAGGAGAGTCACTTGAAGCCCTCGCGACTTTGTCAGCGCTACATGGAGCCTAAGTGCGAACGTTCTTGCACTCGTATGTCGTCCCAAGGAGAGGGAGAGGACGAGGACGCGCCGTAGCAGAAGTGGATCTTCGAGGTCAAGATCGAGGGTTCTGCGAGTTTCAGGCTTAAGCACGATCGTTTGCGTCACCGTCGTATAGCGGCCCGGTTGAAATATCCTCGTTGCCGCGGCAAGCCGCGCTCTCCCTAACACCGTTACCACCAATTTTCTCGGTGTTTCGCTCGCCGATCGCGCCCGTATCCGCGCTCATCGGAAAACCCTCGCACCGCGACAAAAAGATGCCGCGCTTTAGGATCGACGTGATTTTCTTGTTTATTCAACGGTGCATTCCGTTTTTATACGAACTTGCAAAATACCGCTACGAACGTGCGCGAATGACGTAGAATTGAATTTTCAAGTTTCGAACAGTTTCATTTGATCGAAAGAATTTTTATGGAGGTATAGTGCGACAAATATAGCATATTCAACTAAAAATTATTTATAGCAACAGATCGATGAATGACATTTAAATTAAATTTGCAAAGCAAAGTTATGCGACACCAATTACTTTTTCAACATTCTTATCTCTAGCGAATCTGAATAAAATTAAGAAATTGTAATGAATCGAAGTACAAATTAATTTTTGAAAATTAAATTTTGAATAATCCACATCATCCACGTATGGGTATGATATACATTTTTAGGATAAATAGGATAAATGTTGTTAATAATGTAATTATGATTTTTAATCATTTTTTAAAAAACATTCTAGCAACATTTTTCGAAAACCGTATTGATTTTTATAATTAGTCGACCGCAAAGTGTTATTAGGTTCCTCATAACAATTGTTCAGAATTAAAAGTTCTTCGCAACTGTTTCAAGTACTTAACCCTTTGCACTCGAAGCCATTTTAACTGTAAATCTAAATTGATTTTTCTAACTTATGGTATTCCCATTTTATATGACAAAGTGCATTTTATGCATATGAAATTTATAGTCTTGCGACTCGTACGATAGTTAGACATTTAACAATTTTTTATGTCTAGACTTTTACAGTATAAAAATTATCTTGTAACAATTTTAATGGTGCCTCAGAGTCACCACTCGAGTGCAAAGGGTTAAACCTGTAATATAATAGTTTCCGAGCCTCGGGGAGAACGAATTTTACCCACCGATCCCTGTCAATCTATTCAACGTATTATCCTGCGATGAACATAAATATAAGCGATACGGTGATATTAGCTGTATCGAAGCGGAAATACGGGCGTATCAACATGTTTACCCGTTGTTTGACTACGCCGTATCGGAAGCGCTGAATGCGCTGTTTATTTGCGAGGAATCGGACAGAACGCGGCGTCGAACGGGTCGCATGGGGATCTGGTTGCGACGACTTCCCATAGCGGCCGTAGATAAGACCGTAGAAAAACAAGCGGCCGGGTTACAGGAAACACGAGCGCGATCAAATGAGCAATACTTCTGCGAACCAAGACCGTTGCCGTTGGTCCGGTCCGTTCGATACGCGAAAATATTCACGGACGCGGCGCTGATGCCGCGGAAAACACCGTGAGACACCGAGGTCAGCGACTTTTGCAAATTGAACCGTCGACGTGACAGGTAGTATCGGGCTATTGAGTATACACCATTGCGACACCGACAATTTCCAGCGATTTCGAGCCGTGTATTTGCGACACTGTCACGCCGAATGTATCGTTGTTTCGACACGCGTTTTCCGGTAATCCGTGTCGATCATTGTTTCGCAATTTTACAAACTTGTCCCGCATTCTACCCCAATGCAGCTTCGTAATGATGGACAGCGCCGATCAACTATTTCCGCGTTCGTATTTAGAGCCAAGTCCGGGGAATATTTTAATATTCCGATGGAAGCCATCGTAAATATTTTCTTCCGCGATTCTAAAAACGGAGGTCGACGGCGAATTTGTTTACGATTTTTTTCAGGACGGAGATGTCAGATTCATTTTCACTTTACGGTACTTGCATTAGTTCCTCGCGTTATCCCTTATGTCAATATCGACAAATTTCTACGACAAATTTTCTACAGTGGTTTTCTTTTTAAACGAGTACGAATCTCTGCAGGGTTGAAAAAATGCTGAAACTATGCGAAAGGTGGCAAAGAATAAATTGCGAGAACATTCCCGAATAAACCCTGACTTCGTTAAGAACGAAATATATTTTCCCATCTACTATACAGGGTGTCCCAAAAATGTTTCGTAACTGGAATTGGGGGGTTTCCAAGATCATTTGAAGTAACTTTTTCCTTTACACAAATTTTCCCCGAAGCATCGTTAACGAGTTATCGACGAAAAACGCTGACCAATAAGAAGCGAGCTCAGCTAGTTCCGCTCATTGACTCCGCAGTCTCGCGCCAGCCGAGCTCGTCTCTCATTGGTCACCGTTTTTCGTTAAATAAAGCCGCGGATTGCATTTTCGCCAAGGAAAAAGTTGCTTCTAACGACCTCAGGAACCCCACATTTACAGATTGCGAGACTTTTTTGGGACACCCTGTATATTATGCGAAAACATGGCGCAAGAAAGTGAACGATGCGAAGTAAAAATAACTACTATAATTTACTTTTTTGAAAAATGTCATTAATTTCCTCAAAATCGAAATAAAATTTCGTTCTTCCGTTATCAAACTTTAGGAATGAAAGTAAATAAAGTTCCACAAGAAACAAAAACTGGCTCGTTCTATCAGAGAAATTGAAGAGGTTGAAACGAGTCTAGGTTCGTTGTTGTACATTTTTACAAGATTGTGATAGGTTGAGTAACAACGATTCTGTCGAAAAATATAAATTTCGTATACGGAGACTTTCCGAAGTCACTGTAAATGTTAAAACGAAGATTGTCCACGGATTAGAAGCTGTACTTACCTCCGTTCGGCTTCAAATCATCCTGTTGACCCCGATGAAGATCCGGCTTGGTCAACATCGGTAAAGGGTGGGTAGCCGCACCACCAGCAGTGGCGGCCGCACTCGGTGGTATCCCTAATCCAAGAAGGGCCGCGGAGGCCGAGGAGGGAAGACCGGGTCCAGGAAGTGCTGGTATACCTGGATGCGGTCCTATCGCGGCACCTGGTGGAAGCTGCGGCGCGTGCATTTGCTGAAGCAGCCTAGGCAGGTCTGGCCTTTGTTGCTGCAACGAACCGTGAGAATTGAATTTTAATATTAGACATCATTTCTCGGTACGCGTACGCGGTCTGTAATTGCGTCTGAATTAACCTCGTTCGTCTTTGATCGTGATGCAAGTTTTTAATACATTAACCTTGGGATCGTGGCCGAGTCGATGAACACGTGCGAATTTCTTTTGTAAATAATTGCGAGCTAACGAACAGCGTTAATGCACGGGGCAGTGGCAGATTTGCGAACAATTTTTATGTCTTACGTACATAACAAATATTTCTAATACGTTTCTAATATGTCTAATATAACAAACACTTCTAATATTTGTTATCTAAATAAAATATTAAATAAAACGATAACAAATATTTCTAATATTTGTTATAGATGTAGAAATTTTACAAATCCATTGACAAATAGTTCCAAACGTTGCACGTTGAATATTTGACCAAATATTTAACTTTATCTCGAAAGGATATTTATCGCAATTTAATGATGACAATAATAATAATAATAAAGTGTCTTATCGAATTCCCATTTTCATAGTTTATTGCATAAAACTTAGAACAACGAAAAAATGTATGTGTTCCTTCTAGCGACAATAAAATAGAATTTGTTAGTGTGAACAATTTCTTATATTCCATAAATTTGCACACATCGTAAACGCACGAAAATTTGCAGCCTATTCGATTTACTAATCTATTCGCAATGACATAGATCGGAACGAAATGAAGAGTAGAGATACTATCTCAACTGGAATCGTAATCTTTTATTTCGTCGAATAAAAATTCGGATGGATCATTGTAATAAGATGGGTAATCAGAATTCGCGGGTAATCGCGAACGCCGATCCCAATAATCTAATCGTAAATGAGATATAACACGTCGTTCAGATAAGACTCGAAGGGGAGATTGGATTGGAGAGCAGGTGACATCATTGACAACTGATGAAACACGCCTCCGTTGACCGACTGCTCTTATCGTAATCGTTGGATACACCGATCGGAAACTTGCCGATATCGAAAACACATCCGTTTATCGCTTACAAGGATCATTATCCAATTGATGCACGCCGATTTCGAGGAATCTTCGTATTATAAGTAGATCACGCGGACGTATTTAAATATTAATAAATATTAATATTTATAGTTCTTTATCGACGGATATTTGCGTTCAAAGATAACATCGCGAGATAACGATGGACAAGAAATCGCTAATTCGAAGCTGGCTTAATTTTCGCGACGATTCAAATCGGTACCCTGTGTCAACAATATCGAACAATTAAAAATTAATATCGAACAACTCTTACGAAATTTTATACGCTCCAGTCGGCGAACTTGTCTATTTAAAAATATGCAGAAGATTTCTGAAGGCTCGATTATATAAAATATAAAATAATTTTAAAAGATTACAATTAACATAAACATTTTTATATATTAATTATATATTTATAAATTATAATTAATACATAAAAATATTTATGTATTAATTATATACCTTTAATACGTTTCATCGAAGCTTTCAGAATAGTAGCGTCGCAAGACGCAGCCACAAATCGGTCGCAAATATATTTTACAAAAAAAAACTCATTAACATTTCTCGAAAGCAGCCTAAAAATTACGTTTCCAAAAGTTTCGCCGTAAGCAACCGAAACAGAGAGGCAGCGGCTGGTTAACGGAATCCGCGGCGCGACGCAACTTTCCACTCGATCATTTATTTCAACTATAACATCTGCTCGTGATTCGGCCTCCCGGCGGGGCAAGCATACAAATCACGGGGTAAACTTCCGGGCGACGTTTAAATAAGCCTGGTCCCAGCATCCGGGGCTAAATCCGAAAGTACGAAACAAGTGGTGGGACTTGTGCAGCGTTCCTCGGTTTGCGCGCGGCGGGGGTGGGAAAAGTTTTCGAGGAGGGAAGCGAGCCTTAAACGTGCACCCTCGCAGTCGGTACTTTGCTCGTTAGTTGGCCAGAGCCGAGGGTGTCGGTCGAGTTTCAGCTGCCAGACAAATTGTACGCCGGAGCGTTTTAACGCTCGGTGGATCGCGACGCGGGCACCGCCGTCGGAAAAGGAAAGCACACCGGCGAAAGAGAGAAGCGGAGGAGAAACAGAGGAAGAAGGAGGGCGGGTGGAAAAGACGGCGGAAAGACGAGGGAACGATAAGAAACGGAAGTTTCGCCGGAAGGCAGGGTTGAAAAGAGGAAGACCGGTGCTAGCCCACCCTCTGGGAGCCGTGTACACTCGTTAAGGCCGGCCCGAAATATTCCGCGAGTAGTATGCCGAGATAATTAAATGGTTTAACGATATAATAACCTCGTGTTGGCCGACTGTCTGTACCAGCCGCAGAACACACAAACAGGAACGTGTGCGCACATTCCGGGCGAAACGCGTGCCTCCGTGCGCTTCGGAACGAGAGGGCGGAGGCGTTAGGCTGTGTTTCCCGAGGTTTCGAGGAACCCTGGATCCGCCTTAGAAACGTCTTCCAACTGGTAACGATAATAATGCTCACCTCGGTCTGACGTGCCAGCATTCACGGCAACGAGGTCGTTTTCTCGATTATCCCCGTTGAGAGAAGATCATTTCCCGGCTTTGCGGGAACGTCTGCTAATTATCGGGTCGAATATAACTGGCTCTACACACAAAACTGGGGTTACCGATCAGTCGATCTGTACGGTTTCCACGAACCGGGCCGATGAAATATCTCCGCGATCTCCGGAGACGCGGAGATTGATAAGCGACGAGTCGCGGATCCGTGTTTCGGCGGTTTATCTCGTCTCTCTTTATCAATCCGCTATGCTCGGGTCTCTCTCGTATCTGCTAACTGCAGAGGTGAAGCACCGTTTCTGTCAATCGTAGATACTTCTTAATTACTTCTTCAATGGGCTTTCGTTTCTGATGCGCAACGAAAATGCATACTTCGCTTCATACATCAAATTATTAAATCGGAAATAGTCTGTCCTTCGTATCGGCTTGTTTAAATGTGTGTGTGTGAAAGTACTTTAGATCGTAATTGATATGCTATTTTTTTCTACATACACTATATAATTTTCTATTTCGTACTGTATTTGATATATTTTTGTTTTATTCCTCCCACATTTTTTTGTACATTTTGCTGTGCAGTTTGTTTTGCTTAAAAAGAAATTAACATAGCACGGAAAATTATTCGATCATATTTTAGGAACACGATATGTATCCAAAAATTGTTTCGAATATTCCAAAGCACAAGAACCTTTGAAAAATTGCACAGTTCTTGCAATTCGGAACGCGCAAATGACGTCAGTAAGGATGAGATTTTAAACGTACACAAGGTATTACATTATATCGAAACTGCGTATCTTTGTGCAAAATAGAAATCGTTCGCATCAAATGCAAGGAATACCAACTAGAAACTTCTTCCTTCTCTTAATGAGTTTAATAAGCGAATACATTGACGCTCATATAAAGTTTCGCGTACAATGGTTTGTCAAAGAATGATCCCCACTAATCAGCATACTAAATGGCTCATCTTTTATTTCATAAGACTATTTCATAATAATTTAATGATCAATGATAATCTTCATAATATTTCCGTAAACTCGAAATACGACAATAGATCATTCGAATCTTGATATTTCCGACGAAGAACAGCAAATATTAACCCTTTGCACTCGAAGCTATTTCAACTGTAAATCTAGAATAATTTTTCTGGCTTATAGTATTTTTATTTTATACGACAAAGTGCATTTTATGCGTATGAAATTGACTCTTGTGACTCACGCAACAGTTACGCCCTTAACAATTATTTAAATCTAAATTTCGTTAATATGAAAATGATCTTAGAACGTGATATAACAAATTTTAACGATGCCCCAGAGCCACCACTCGACTGCAAAGGGTTAATGATCCAATCGCACAGAATCGAACAAAATTGCCTATTTTCCATCACCCCGAGCCAAAAAACGACAGGTAAGATAACCGAATGAATTGAAAAGGGCGAGATCGAATGATGTTCGTTTCACTTCGAAAAATTTGTCTACGCGGAGTGGGGGATCTTTTGTGAGTACTGAGAAAGAGGAAGTCATTAAGGCCCCCCCACGTCTTCGTGCGAGCCTTCTTACGGCACCTGCATTCACTGGCAGGGCTTGTTCTCAGCAGTTTCCAACGGCATGGCTACTTGCTGACTCAACCAGCCGTGAAGATACCGCCGCTAAAAGATCCGAGGAGATCGTCTTAACCTTCTTCTATATCACATGTCGTTGACGCCTGAGAAGCGTCTTCTGCCGGCCGTTCGTGCAAGAGATTATGAACGTCAGCAACGTCGCCTCCGACCTCGGCGGGAACGCACGCAACTCCGCGTGATTTTCTAAATAGAGCTCTGTTATCTGCCCGGCGGGCTGGCGAAATCGCTGAAAGACCAACGCGGATCATTTATCGCGGCGAGGCGATTTCGACGACGATAAACCTTGGATTCGGATCTCTCGACGAGCTGCGCCGACTCGACAGGATTATTCCGTAGCCGCGAATATGGCTCGAAAAAGCTCGAAAAACAGTCCGAAGTACAAAAATCTGAGATTCGGTGTACGAACAACACTTTTGCACGCTGACTGTGCACCGATCTTTTCTCATCTACTTAATCGAATTGTGTACAATGAGTTCTTTCTAATCGACGACTCAGATTGCACACAAAAATGGACAATTTCGGACAATTTGGGAAGAGGAGATACGATTATTCGAGCCTTGCGGCTCGTTTTTACAGTTGCCGATCGTCAGCGGCTATAAAAACGAACCGCTAAACTGAAATAATCGTACGAATGATCTTGCAAAATTGTCCATTTTTGTTTTCAAGCTAAGCGTCAATTAGCAAGAATTTACTGCACTTGCAATTCCTGAAATAAGATGCGCATGTGTGAAATAATATTGCAACAGCCATCAACGAGGGATTAAAATGACTTAATGCAAGAACATATTATGCAATATCGAACAATTTTATAACGAAGCATTGAATAACGAAGTTAATTAATTACAGTTTCGATTGGTGTGTAATGATTGGGGAGAAGCATCAGCAATGTTTCCGAAATTGAATTTCAATTTTCATTACTCCACCATGTTATCAGGTAACTTAAAAATCGTGCAATATAAAGTTATCTCTTGTTGTACGAGTAAAAAGAAAAAAGAAAATAGCATCATAATTTTGAATCGAAGACATGAAATATACAATGCAATTTCGTAGGATTTAAATCCTACACTGTGTGAAATTACTTCGATGTCTCTACAGTCTTGTTTCCTCTTTCCTTTCAAAGCTGATACCAATCTTTCAAACATTACCTAATATTTAGATAGTAATATTTCGGTAATATTAGGTATATTAACTTATACCCAATATTATTGATCTGCCTTCGATATTCTCATACTTTGCAATATAACTTTGTTATATTTGTAATACAATTTCTCAAAGTTTGTTATATTTCCTGTACCTCCTTCTTTCTCCTCACTTATTGTATCATATCATGACAATATATTTTTTTATAGCACTCGCATGATGGCTGTATAAAAACCTTCGTTTTCCTTTTCTTCCTTTCGTAACAAATGCTTCCAGCAAATTTAAAAGAATGCAGAAACGTTTCTGTAACGTCTTTCGAATCCGACATTTTCTCCGATCGTTTAAGTCACGAGCACACAAAATCCGGCGTCCACGTAATCGCGTTAATTAGATTTCAAGAGCGGAAAACTCCCTCGAATTTCGTCGAGGTTTCGTGGCAAAATGACCGCGGAGCGGAGTTCTCTCGACCCGTCAATGGCATCCGCGGGTGTTAACAAACCACTGGAACGGACCCGAGTAAAATCGAGCGGGTTCGTTCCCGGGCCCTGTACGTGTTTTTCTTTCAATCCGCGCGGTAACTGAAAGGATTTAAGATCGCCTTAAGAGGAGGCCGGGTCGGAGGCAGAGGGCGATGCTACGGGAGCGGTTTAAAGCGCGCGGAATCCAGGGATTCTGCTAAGGATTTGCCGCACGTAGCCCGACAACGCCGCGGATCCGTGGAAGTTTCTATGGTCGTGGGGGGTTGAGGTGGAAGCGCCTAGGAGTCCACGGTCTGAGGAGGAAGGACGGAGGGTTGAACCGTTCGGGGATGGTCGGAAGGAGGGCGGAGGTGAGGTCGAAGGGAGTTGGGTAGCAGGAATGCTGATTAGTTGGTGCTCGTGCGCCGTAACACTATAACCTATCCGGCTTGGAAACCGGGAAGGAAGACTCGGGATAAGATTCAGCCCCGAGAGGGGAGGTTCGAGGAAAGGGGTTGCAGATCAGGGAGACGAGTTGGCTGAACGTGATGGAAGGAGGAAGATAGGGAGAGGATGAGAGCGAGTGAGAAAGTAAGCGAGACTGCGAGAGCAAGCGAGCGAGTGAGTGAGCGAGTGAGAGAGAGAGTAAGTGAATGAGAGGGAGAGAGAGAGCGCGCCGGGGAGAGAAGCCGGCGGCTTAATAGGGAGGAAATTGAGTGCTCGAGCAATATTGAGGAGGATTCGGGATTCGCCAGGATCGTATCCATCCGTCCGCTTTCGGATTCCTCGGGCGTGCATCGGCTTCCTCCTACCACCGCGCAGGGATTCTCATTCGACGCGAATCCGTTTCACGCCAAGCTGAACGCGAATCAGCTTCGGTGGCCCTTCGGTGCTCGCGTAAATTTTCGTCGAAAAGGATTTGCGGCCGGGCCCCCCTCCCGCGACCGCCGGCAGAATTGAATTTTTCCTCGAGATAAAACCGACCCCGCCGCCGCCGCCGCCAACATTGCCAGGAATTTACGAACGTACGGTGCCCGCGGGAATCGGAAGAAGATGGTGTTCGCGGGCTCGCGATCAACTCCGAACCAGATACAAGGGATTCGGTTTATGCGCGGCTGTTGCCCGTGCATCCACTGCTTTTTAGAAAATACGGCCGCGTCTTCTCACGTCGGATCGATCGCTGCATGCGCTTCATGGGCCTTGTTGAGAGTACGATTTAGTAGGGGATTAAGCTCTAGACGCACTCAAAGATCTCTCGGAGACGTCGCGCGTTTCTGATGCTGTTATATACGCCGACGTTAAATATTATTTAGCGTCGTCAGGAAATAGTATAGAACGTCCGCTTAGAATTTGCACGATATTCGCGATATTTCAAACGAACATAAATTATAAATTGACGTTTCTTTGTGATTACCTTTCTTTTTCATGGCTTAAGGCAATCATGTAACTTCTATAAAATTTCACAGCAGTGTAATAATTTTGATTGCAATTCAACTTTCCATAGCAAAATCACAATTTTTGAAAAATTATTGCTCAGAGTTGCTGGTAGATATATCGGAAAAGTCTTCCGCGAGTGGTGATAATAATAATAGAATAACAATTAGAGAGTTTTCATTCTAAGTCTGAACTATATTTAAATCGTTTACGATTCGATATTTTAAATTCGTCAAATAATGTTAATCATTTTTTAGACGATATAAATAATTTTTCCTTATGAAATGCAGATGAAAAGATGAATAATTTTGCTACAATTTATTTCGACTTTACAGCAAGCGCGCTCTTCGAACATTAACGTTTGAGAAAGCGTTTCGCAAGTAAAAAAGATTCGGTGGATTTTACAAATATTTTCAAGATAAAAATACGCAAATACCGTAAAAACTGAACCGTTCGAAGGTCTCTTTGAGAATTAGCATTTTTATCTATTTATTGATAAATATGTAACAAAGAGAAAAATCTCTCGCATAAAAAATCAACGAATGCTCGTTAATATGCCGATTACAATAAGCGCGTAAAACGGTGACTTATCATCCCGCGCGCACCGCGCCCATCGTATTTGGCTCTCGCTCTCGAAATCCCTGATCTACGCGCGCTAATCTGCGGTCGAATTCGAACGTCCGGGAAATATACAAAAACACCGATCTGTTTTATTCACGAATCGGCGAGAACGGGACGGTTGTACGTCGTCGAAATTGTTCCTATTAGTTCCATCGACGCGAATATCGGCAACAAATTCCCCGGTGTAATCCCTTTTTCACAGAGCCGTTTCCAGCTGGTCGCAGCTCGTTCCAATCCCGATCGCTCTCGAGTTTAGAAATTTATCTAACCATCGTTTCGATAACTCCGCGCAATAAAGATAACAACCTGCTGGGGCAAAAAAAAAAATCGCACGGACAGAGACGGACACACGCGGGGCGCATCGCCAACCCCCGTCCGCCCCCGTATCTGCAAATCACTTCCGCGCCATATCGATTCACGGTGCGCGCGCGATACCGGAAATTGATTTCGCATTAGAAGGCGGGATAGTTCAATTTCGGTCGGCCGATCATCGGCGGCTAGTGGACAGAGAGGGAGAGAGAGAGAGAGACGGGGGCCGACAAAGGGTGAAAGCGAAAGAGGGAACGAGCAGATATTTCGCGCGGTCCGGCCGTTATTTGTTTTTCGTGACGGTGACTGCGTTTAATATTTAATTTACTGTTTAATGTTACTCCAATAATGTCCCCGGATAGTTTCGACGGTAAACACAAACGTCACGATCCGCGCGTTATATACGCGCCGGGGACTGTACACACGCGCACGGACGGCGCGCGTGTTTCAATCGGAGGAAGAGAGGAGAGCCTGTGCTCGCGTGTGCGCGGAAGGGAGATAAAGGATATGTGCGTGCGAGTGAGGGAGAGTAATTTATCTTCCATTGGCGTGCACTCACCCCGATAATGGCGTTGAGTTCGGTCATGGTCACTTGTTTGGCTCTGTCAACAGCACTGGCGACTTGTTGTTGATGTTCCTGGGAGAGAAACGGCAGGATCTGAGCAATTATAGCGTTTAACCTCTTCGCTATCTCTGTCTGAAAGCAGAAAGGAGAACGATCCTTATTAAACGGTAAATCGCTTTATGACCGATCGACGATCCGTGTACGCGTAATTGAACGGGGATAACGATTCTCCTCCACCCGACCCCCGTCGGGGAGGCCGCCACCCTCTCCACCGCTCGATGTATCCGAGGAGTATCATTTATCAAGCACGACGCGGCGACTCGCATCCAATATATGTCACTTAATTCAAGTTTTATTGAGACCACCCTCCCTCCCTCGCCGCCCCCCGCCCCCATCAATCTCACTCTCTCGATTACCCGCCGCCGAATCATCGACGGTCGAACCAAATTCCAATTTCCACTTCTGCCGCGCGATGAACTGGTTAATGCGGATAATGATATAATAATTTCGATGATCGGGTGTAGAACGCGATACTTGCCCGGAATTCGATAGGATCGGAGATTAACTAAGTTTTGCAGACGTTCGATTTTACGCTCGATCGTTCCCGATCGTGAAATGAAAATCGAACGTCGGAGTAGCATCTTCGAGAACTTTCGTCATTTGTTTCCGTATTGTCGCATTTTTCTCGATTATGAGGTGTTAACCATTTTCATCGATGCGCCATCTTATAGATTGTTTGTTTATTTTTCGTTACGTTTCAGTCCCGATACTCTTGCACATCAAAATGCGGTCGACTCGATTCTCTAATAAATTCCTGAATGCCGATGCTTCTAATTGGACACAATGATAACAATTTTCATCGATGCACCGTCTTATTGATTATTTGTTTATCTTTCGTTACGTTTCAGTCGCAATATCCTCGCGCGAAACATCAAAATGTGGTCGACTCGATTCTCTAATAAATTCCTGAATGCCGATGCTTTCGATTGGACACAATGCTGCTGTTAAATATTTAAACAGATCGAACGCTTTACACGAAACGCGGACCATGGACTCCTTTTGAAAAGAACGTTCTCACATGTATTAATAAACCGGTGATTTTATGCATTTATGGCAAACGCGAGTTACTTGAAATGCAAACGTGTGAAGACCTCGGTGGAATTTATAAATATCGTTACATTGTTCTATACATATTTGCGTTGTTAAACGAGGAAACACGTTGTTAATTTGTTTCCTCGCCATTGAAATAGAAACATTTCATTCTACTTTCAGTTCACTTATTAAGTTCCGATGGGAACGAACAATGAAAAACGTTCTTAAACACGAAAGTTTTAATCTCGATAGAACTTCGCGATCGAAATATAAAACCTCGTTTTTACAAACGTAAAAAACGTCTAAAGTGACCCAATTTCTTTGGTGTACAGATTCTAGAGAGAGAAAAAATACAGTAAATTCTCCCTAATTGGCGCTTAAATTGTAAAAATGGACGATTTGGGAACAATGAGATACGAATACTCGAGCCTCGCGGCTCGTTTTCATAGTTACCGATTGCCAACAACTATAAAAAGGAATATAATAAATTAATCGTATCTCATTCTTCCCAAATTGCCCATTTTTCTGTACAATCTGCGCGTCGATCAGGAGAATTTACCGTGTTTCCAACAGGTTTAACGCAAAGGTAGCACCGGAAGTCCTCGAAATCGCTCGAGAATAGATTGATGCAACTCGATGAATGTATTCTTCGATTAACAGAATATTCTAACAACGGGTCGGAATAGCTGCACCAGGTATCGTTCCTGAAAGCGGATTTATCGAGTCGTTAACACAAATTAACCCCAGCAAAGCGTCAGAGGGCGGGGGCCCGGGGGTGAGAGAGCGAGCGCGTTCGATTATACATTAATGGAATTATTATTCCCGATTATACGGCGGCCTTATTAAAGTTGGAACCCATTAAAATTGGAATGGTGGCGGGAATGGTGCGCGAATTCCAGTAAATTCAGCGCGTTCGTCGACGGACCCGACGCCCGTCCCGACCCGGAGGGGAGGTCGCCGTCGGTTAACGATCGAGAGTCGTCGTTCGTCACTTGTCCGGAACAGTTGGCGGTTTACCGGTAGGGTAGCGAGACCTATGGCGACTTCTTGCACCGCGGGGGTAGAAGAGCTTAATTTCCGGCAGTGGATACAGGCGATGCCGGTCCGAATACGTCGCGCAGTGCAAACTGGACAAAACTCTCTTTTCAACGTTTATCGCGTGTCACGCGTGTCTCTGTAGCATGTTTGTTGATAATTGCTTAATATTATATTTTCTTCGCAAATAATATATTAACACTATGCCGTCCGCAGATCTTAGATATGATTCTTTCGTTTGACGCCGGCGTAATAGTTTGTAAATTTTAGATTTAAAAAAAAATTTCGAAGACGGCGATAATATAAATTCGTAAAATTAAGATATGTCATCCAAGAATTTTCGTACTTAATTCTTAGTTAAGTAAGCACAGTGCTATAGTTAGTTTGCTGCCTTTTAACACTCAAGAAATATAGTTCAAAAGTTATTTCAGTTTTTTAAAATGGCACCAGCGTGGTGCCACCGGACGGCATAGCGTTAATATCGATTAAAAATGAATAAATTGCGGAAAGTAAAATAAAATTGTATTAAACTAATTTAAAAATAAATATATTGCAAATCATCGTTTGCGTAGAACGAAATTCTTTATTCTCCGCTTTCGCGTTTATTGTCTACTTTCAATTGTTTGTACATCGTGAAGCTAACCTAACTGATCACAATAATTAACGGTATTAATTGAAACAATCGAGCGTAGCTTCGCCGCTAGTTTGCAATATAAAAATTGATTTCAATGTACAAGAAAGTGAACGCAGAATTTATTTTAACAACAGCAATTAAATAATGAACTTTCTCGAGTATTTAAAATGCCGATTCATTCGCATTCGTAAAACCGACTTTCGTCGCGACGCCGATCAAATCGAGTTACGAGTTTTGTCCACTCGATTAACGTTAATCGGGACACAGCGTCCGGACGAACGTTGAGCCGAGACGGAGAAAGAGAGACCCTGAGTCGGGGTTAATTTAATCTCCGTCAGTCACCGGTGACCGGAGGGTGTCGTAAACACCCCGCGACCGGCTGCGTCGGAATATGCACCTGCATATGCATTCGTTTCACCCCGTAAGGGCGCGGCCCGTCCACTCCTAGCCTAATTTAACGATCCGACCGACGCCGCCTTGAGCGTATCTTTAAGCCGGATGTCGGTGGAACGAGTTCCTTGCATTATCTGCTCGAAGCAGGTGGAACAGTCGGTTCTTCTCTTTCGGCTATATTGGGCCACTGACCTAGATAATTCGCCCTTTGTTGCATCGAATCGTCGCCGACCTCAGGTAGAACCGCAGGGCACATGCTCCGGATTTAATTTGTGCGATTATGTTAGGCTGCGCCGGGAATTCGTGACGTTTTGTTGGAACATTGACAGTTAACTATTAGTAAATTGCGTCGGCGACTCGCTGCGTTGTTTATAATCGTGTAAATATATTCACACATACAGATGGTAAATAAATTCCGAAGTATTTGCAGCTAAATAAATTTTTACGCGACCCTTCTTCGTTACAACCCGGGCGAAGGATTTTTAATCTGCATAAAAATCCGCGGTTTAACTATATTACCCTTTCTCTCCGCATAAAAAATATATACAATAGTTTCTGTCATACACCTATAAATGTCTCGAAGCTGTTATTTTGTAAAAATTCGTCGACACGATTAATTAAGATTTTCACTTTTAAAAGATGCTACAACTATCGACAAAAGAATGCTAGAATCGTGTTCAGGGATGTAGGAACATGGTCGTAAAACGGCTCGCTTGCGATGATACAATTCAGCTGATTAAATAAGGATCGTTTTAAGAAACACGCGCGTCCGTTCGCTGAACAAATTAGCCGATCCAAGCAGATCGTAGCAGTACAAAGTGCTAGAAAGCGAGTCGAGCGTTCCAAGCGCTCTATGAAATTCGTAGATCAACCAGCTAATTACCCTATCGTTCCGGCGGGATCGGTTTGACGATCGTTAACGGGGGCGCCCGCAAAAATCGACGACTGTAAAAACGTTCCTGTCCAGACAAGCCCGTGAGGACCGCAGAATTTCCGATTTCCCAAAGTACTTTCATGGATTCGTGCCACTTGGCTCGACACCACCCCAATTACAAGATCCTGTATCGCGCAGCCCGTTTGGCGCGGTCGCCGGTTTCCCATTAAACGGCGCCAGTTGGCAGCCGTTTTCTCGCATTTTCCCGAAGCGTAGGAGCCGCGCTCGCGCTTACGCGGAGAAGCGTAAGGAGTCGCGGAAACGGAAGAAGCCGATTCGTCGCGCAACAGGAAGCGAGGTACACCGGGTGTCCGGCGTTGAAAACTGCGCAACCGAGCCGAATGCTGCGCGACTCGTAAACGCCGAGATGAATAAACTAGCCGGCTGCAGACGGTGTAAACGGCTCGGCTTGGAGCGGAGCGGAGAGTAGCCGAGGCACGTTTCTTCCCCGGCCATTTCGTTTCCTCGAGCTCTCGCGGTAACGCCAACACAAGCACCGCGCCCGGCCTGGCAACACCAGTCGTTTTCACTGCCGTTTAAACGAGCCTCGGATGCTAATTGAAATATCGCGGCCACTAAAATTCTTGGCAAGCTTCCCCAACGCGGAGCGGGATGACGAACGAACGGAGAACGAGCACGCGCGCGCGCGCGCCACGGCCCGAGAAGAAAGGAGGACGCGGAGCGGGGCGCGAGAAAGAGCCCAGCGCGCGGGCACAGTTGTTTTAATTACCCGTCGCCCTTCCGAGTGCTAGTCATTAGACCACTAATTATAACGTACCGGAAAATGAGTCGCGCCGTCCGCGAATGAACTGCGCCGTAGACCGGCGGACAAAGGGAGCGAGCGAGAACGAGCGCGCCCGTTGTTTGTTCGGGCTAACAGATGTGCGGATTGCGCCGATGGCGATCGCGACTCTCAAAGAGACGATGCATACCAGCTACCCACCCGGCGATTAATCTGGGCGCGACCCAGAAAATATTGCGCCTCTGAAAATGTTGGTTTATCAAGTCGTTAGGCGGCCACGGATGTTTACGGATTCGCGCTTC